GCTTTACTGTATCATATCAGATTCCTGAGCAGCAGCCCCATGTCTGGCAAGCTTATCATGTTGCCAAGATGTTATTGTCAAGACTAAAAGCAAGGTCCTGCAATTATAGTCTGAATTTGACTGTTGTTTTCCTACCCTGGCCAAACTGGGTGGATATAACCTGCAGAGAAAACGGTTTTCTCATGTTATTCTGTCCTCCAAGTGCCTTTGATAAAAATATAGCTTCTACACAGAAGCTGGAATATGCTAATCACTAGCTGAATATTTGATGAAGAAATGAACGAATACTTGGACAAGTGCCTCATGGGAGACTTTCAAAGTCCTGCAGTTTGGCTCTACCCTCTCACCATAAGCATTGAAAACTCATGGCAACTCTTGAGCATTCAAGGGAAGATGAAAGAGCTCTGGGTTGTTAAAGAAAACATCTATTAAGCTTCCATTCAATTACATATTATCCTTTGCTTTTTTGCCTTCAAGGTTTTATTGGTGCTCTTCTGCTTGCCTCAATTAAGACACTTCCTTCATTCTTGCCAAATGCATTCTTTTTAATCCCTCCAGCTTCAGCTCAAATTTTACCTTTTCTCCATAAACTATCTAACCACTCAAGTATAAAACTATCTCCACTTTATTCCTCCTCTGACTTACTAAGACCATTTCTGTTAACTCTATCATATTTTACTTTGGCCAGGAATTCTGGCATGACATTGTTAAGATGCTTTTTTATAAATAAGTAGCTGCTTTTTACTACTTTATGCAATATAAATCTGTTGATGTCATGACCTTTGAGTTGTTCTCTGTATTTCTTGTGCCTTTCTCATGCCCGAAAATGGTGGTTTCTCCTCTAGCAGTTCTTGAGCCTATGTTTGCTCATTGATTGATGGATAGGTTACTAGACATTTTCTTCTCTATAGCCTTGCTTAGATATCCAGCAGTTTAATAAATATCCATTGATTGTCCAAGGATATATTGATTTATTAGTAGTACAGAAAGGAAACTAAATATTTAGACATAAACTGAGAAAAAAAGTTCTTAAGCATGGAAGAGTCTTTCAATTAAATGATAGCATATGGTCTTGCAGAGAAAGGCTCTATCTATCTATCTATCTATCTATCTATCTATCTATCTATCTATCT